AGCTGTGAATTCCAGGTAAAAAAGGTAAAAAATATGGTACTAAGGCGAGATGGGAATTGAACTAAGGCGAAATGTGAATTTAGATAAAAATATTAAATAAACAAATTATAAACCTCTGTGTTCTTATAGCAATTTAAACAACATGTGATTATTATAGGGAATTGTTGTCATGAATTTAGAACATGACGTTAAGTCTGAAGGAGAATGATAAGTCACTGGGTCGCCCGTGTTTGCTAGTCGGGTAGTTATATATTTTCAGAGACACAGGGTGACATTTGCTAGTGGACAGAAGAAAGTCCAGAAAGCTCAATATGTTTTATTCTTCACATAATGGGACTGCCTCTACGATTTTGCCTCTTTTTGGTCAAATATCTAAATTATTATAATTTGCGAAACAGTAATAATTATGTGATACTCAGCATGCAGTTATTTATAGATAGATATAACTATCGAATGAAATAGTCTAAACCTCGACATATGTACGTCCAGAAATATGAATATATTTATCTAAATTGATACTATTGGATTCAGATACATGATTGCACGCCAATCTTTATTATAACTCATCATAGATACCAGGATTACAATTCTATATTTACGCCAGACGCGCGTTTCGTCTACAAAAGACTCATCAGTGACGCTCGATTGACAGTTGATTGGATAAAAGTGATGGAATGCCACGCCTATATTAAAACTGAGGTCCTATGAACCTATGAACCGACTGCAGATAGCTCCCAGTATTCGAATTTGATATAAAAAAAAAATATTGATATCTCGTTTTGTTTCAATATTAAAAGTTTTGAGTAACGTAGTTGAATTTTAGATTAAATTTGGGAAGTCTTGTACATCCCCATTTTTAAAAGTTATTCAACAAGAAATGCAAAAAAAAAATCAGCTGGTTTTGGGGGGGGGGGTATGATGAAAAATTTTGTTCTGCATTTTTCTTTAAATGAATATAATCTCAATGTAAATGTAGTCCTGCCTTTTTATTTTACTCTTTGTGTCTCCATGTAGCCTCGAGATATGGGACTACTTATTTTCACGTCAGACAAACTTCTTCGTGCATGAGACTTCATATTCGATTAAGTAATTTCAAAAGGGAATGGAATGCCCATCGATTGATAAACGGAAACCGTAGAAAAAAAATTAGTCCATTCGATAATTCTTAACCCCATGTATAAACGTATATGTTAATTTATTATTGTGCACTGTTTAATATGGTCAACAGGGAATGTCACTTGCTGAAAGTCACAAATGATAGCTGAAACATATCATGAAACAATTACCACGATTATGATATTTCATTTGACTTCTTGGGTTAGTTGACCATGAAATAGTGCATTATAGTTTTAACAAAGAAGTAATTCGGGATAAGAAATGTCTAAATTGATAAGTTATACAATGCATTTAAAAATCCATTGCAAGAGTATTGTATACTTAGAAATCATCGCCCGCTGTTGTAAGTTCAGTTTTGCCATTTTTCGTGCTTGTCATGAGACGATATTTCAGGGGTTTCGATTGTTAAACTCATCAAATCAAATAACGAACATATTCCATCTCAACACCAGAAAGAGTGGCTCATTTACATCTATCAATGTTTATCGCTTATAAGATGTTGTACTTTCAATGCTATCTATAAATGCAGAGTAAAATTTTAAATGTTTGGTATACAAATTTTAAATTATTCATCTTAAAAAAAAAACCAGAAGATAATGGGAAATATCCAAAGAATCATGATATAAATTGAAAGAAAAGAAGAAAACCCAAAACATTTTTTTTTATATTGAAATTGAAAATCCAACTGATCAAAAGTCGTATTGACGTCTAAAATTCTATACACATTAAACTAGTACTTATAGTATCTCAAAATGTCCAAACAGAGCCCGTTTTATAAACGCACACTGGACATAATTGTTATATTTCTATTTAGACTTTCAACATTTTATCAACCGTTTGTGAACTATTTTTGAAGATTACGAATCCGTAGCTTCATTGCACATTTTGCTTTGTTTAGAAAATAAAATACACAATTACTTGTATGTAAAATTGTTTTAATGGAAGCTTTCTGAAGGTACTTGATAGGATGTACGCCAATTGATGAGGGCGTGACACATTTTCAAGAATGTTCAATCAGCTTTTTTTCTGTTGTACAAAGTTTGACGTGCGGTGATGTTTGAACATTGTGACTGTGTAACCTGATTCAAAACTTAATTAATTTAGAAAAAGTACTTTGCAATCGCTGAGAAGACGTTGAGTGTATTTTACATTTGTCCTTTCGAAGCCTTGTATATCTTACCATGCTGTATGGATTTTGCTCATTGTTGAAGGCCGTACAGTGACCTTTAATTGGTCATTTCTACGTTATTCATTCTATGGTTAAATTCTCTCATTAGACATTATCCCATCATAGATGATCAGGTGTAATATAAAAAAGGAAACTACATTATCGTATCTCGAATACATATCTATAAAATATAATAAAGAACACTTTAGTAAGATTGAGTACAACAGAAGCTTTGCCTTATTAAATCCTCCATGCTGTCTCCTTCAGACTGTCAAATACCGTCACCTTAACTGTTAACATGGTATTATATGTGATAAATTGCTGTAAACAATACTAAACTGAGTATTTATTCACAGTACGCACTTCCTATTTTAGTTGTGGTGATATAAATCTTAATATCATTGATACACGTTTGAGAAATATGTGAAGTTCTTCAAATGCAGATTTAAACCTTGTTAATATGAAACACAATCCCGCATGCAGCTGTGGCCATCCTGTTGAGGATAGTATTCACCTTCTCTTTTTTTTGGTGCCCGTTTCACATTGAAGCAAGAGAAATATAATTTTCGAAATTAGAAAGATCTACGATATCCTTTTGCTACTATTGGCTGGTGACCTTTCATTTCAGCTCAGCAAAAATAAAAAAATAGTTGAGTCTGCACAGTCTTATATAAAAAATACACAAAGATTTAGAACATTCAATTAAAATTCAGAATTCCTACTTTCAAACTCTTCACTCTAGTCCAGTTTTATATATTACTCTGTATTATATTGTTTTTTTGTTTATTTTGAGACAAGGCCATATTTTGTCAAATGAGATGCACAATTACTCCAAGGCGAATTACGAGAAGTGGTTTCGTATTTCGTTATAGAAAAAAACCTACTAGTTTATGTAAAGTAACGACTCTCGTACGGTGTCGCATTATTATCTTTTTGATAAATTGGTGCAATTGGATGCAAACAATACTGACCATAAAATGTCAAGTTTGCGAGATCAGACAATAACCCAACAACTAAACAATTGAAAATCTAGGAATCAATATTTAACAATTGCCAGCAATAAGCTATTTTCATAAATAAAACATGATTTAGTCGAATAATTTGCGAGTAAAGAAAAAGAGACTACCATAGATTTGTTATTAATCCTAAATGCTTGATCGGTACAGATCAGTATTCAGGAGTTACCTTTTTTGCATAAACCACATTACAATAGAAATTGGAAAATAGGGCCTGAGTGGTTTTGTTTACAATTATTTCCCATTATGTCGGCAGTGAAAATCTGCAATTGTTTCATCATGTTGTTTGATTTACACATTATAACAAAACTAAGAATATGACGGATGCATTTATAGTTAGCTGTTTAACGTCCAGTGGCAACTATTAGATGTATTAATAGGAGGACATTTAAAATGTCATGAATATAAACAAGGACATCCTTTGTTATGCAAACATGTGTATCACGGCACAAGCAATGACCTATAGACCCTGTGTATCATATGTATATTTAGGGTGGGGTTGCTCCGAATAAAGGAGGTATATAGATACAGGAAAATAAAGAAAAAAAATATAAAATAAGAATAGAGTATAACGGGCAAAATGAAGAATAGAGGAAAATGGTCTTAGATTATTAAAGAAAAGAGGGAAATGGTCTAGATTTTTGTTGTTGTTACAAAATACAAAAATGAAAACGCTAAATTAAAATTTCACTTACAGTTTTTAGATTTTTCATTTTTTCAGTTTTTAGAAATTTTTCATTTGCCGGACACGCTCTTTTTTGATGATTGTTAAAAGTCAAGTGCATTAGTAGTAAAAATAATACACAATCGTTTGTACATTGGTAGGGATTTATGTTTGGGGTTGATGAGGCACATAACAGAATATTGTTTCTATTTGAAATTTCTTGAATATTTGTTTTTTTCGACTGATTTGATAGATGAATAGAAATATAAATATAATCTAAAAACTGTTGACTAAACACCCTGCAGACTGCAGTTTACTCGCACATTCACATTTTCCACGGCTATCAAAATTCATAATCGTATCTTTTACTTTGTTTAAATCTATTTCAGTGTTTATTTTTCAAATTTTTTATGTAAATAGTTTTGGATCAACATCGAGACAGAATAAATTATAATTTATTGTTAATGAATGATTAAAAACTGAATTTTGCATCCAATCTAAATTTTTAAGCCTATTATCACCTATATAAAAATATTTAACAGAACACAATTCTAGTTTTATATTTAAAAAAAAATAAGTACGCCAAACGAAACTATGCACGCTAAGAAACGATGTACGCTTAACCATACGATATACGCTAAACGAAACGATGTACGCTAAACGATACGGTATACGCTAAACGAAACGAAGTACGCAAAACCATACGATGTACGATAAAAGGACGCTTATGTTATCGTTTAGGGTATGGTTTATGGTACATGGTTTCGTTCGTACATCATTCGTTCAGCGTCCGTGCAACGTTCGGTCAGCGTTTCGTTTGCATTCGTACACCGTTCGGGTAGCGTACGTACATCGTTCGGGCATCGTCCGTACATGATTCGGGCATCGTTCGTTTTGTTAACTTTTACGTTACACGGACTGTAGCAGCCGGTATTTATTTGTCTTTAGACATTGGTTATGTTTCAATCTGAAACAGTACTTTAAAAACATCTTGTGTTTAACTTAATTTCTTTAGTATGTAAATTTTACTACAAAGCTGATCGCCCCAAACCTCCTACAAATGTGTCAGTAATTCCTTTGGAAAGACATCTAGCAGTATTATGGTGTCCTGAATATAACGGAGGAGAACCTCAGACGTTTTTCATAGAATATCAACAAGAAGCCGATGAAATGTGGAGACGGTCAGGACCTATAATTGATAACATGCAGGTTAGGATGTCAAATCTCCTGTATAACATGACTCCAAACACTCGATATTGTGTTCGGCTGTTGTCAAGAAATAAAATTGGTGAAAGCAAAAGGACGGCTGTCACTTGTGTGATGACTTTAGGTGAGTAATTTTGCAATAGTGAGTGACTACATGATTATACTCATCATTCATTCCATGTATGCGTGATATGCAAACTTTCTGAATGCTTTTCATTCATGGTACTGCGTGTATGTGGAGGTAACCTTGAGAAGATATTACTTTGTGAGGATATAGGGGTTAATTGCGAGCGGCAAACAAATTTAAAAACATATTGAGTCAACTACTGATATGAGGCATAGAAAGAACATAACACAGGGTGGATCACAATTAATAAATCATAATGAGGGAGACAACGGTATAAAAAAAAAACTACAGATCCACGAAACGGTTAGGTAACAGGTATGGCACTACTTGATTCATCTGTCATCTTGCTTGTAATATTTTGACATTCTGTCATTACTCGTGTTCAAACGAATGTCATCAATTGGCAGTCTATCACAAATTAAACATTTATCTATAATATGATGTCGATATTCATTCAAAGTTAATCAACTCATTATTATTTTCCATACGACTAAGTATTAACGACATTTGCCTGTGTTTGTGCTTTTGTTAAATCCTGGCATCAGTGTGTATGGCTTTTGACTTACTGTGATCCTACTTACATGTGTAAATACTCGTTTAGGTTATACACGTTCTTAAGGGAAATATTGTAAATGTGTATGTTTTTATAAGATGCATCATGGAAAACACAAAATATTGCAAAACATTTGTGTTTAACAGTTGATACAGATAGTTAATGCACGGTATCCATCTACGTTACGAAACTAGGTATGCAATGTAGTACTGTCGTAAATATATGCCACTATGTTTCGTGTGCTAAACTCCTTTATTATCATGTGTTTTTTAGTCGGAAACATTCAAAACTATTAGATTCGATTTCCTAAATTTGCTACATGAATATATGTTTTACGAACACAATAGAGGAAGAAAATCATGATGTCAAATCCCTAGGCTGAACTCAAATGTCTAACTCTGTTTTATGTTTGTTTGGAGGAGAAATTTAAACTTGACAATCTCGAATTAGTTGAAGATTCTATTCGGCTCTTTCTCAACTTACTAGTATCTTTTACTGTTAATCGTGTTGATACAATACCAGAATAGGTGCCGTATCTGTGAGTTTACCATTTGAGTCATATTATAACGTGACTTTTTAACTAAGTCTGGAAACACTTTGGGACCCTTTGCCTTTTTTTCCAATATTTGATCTTTTCAATGATAATACATGAATATGGATAATACTTAGAAACATACTAGCTTTGTCAACCTCATATCATATACTTTTTTCTTTTATAAAACAAAGTTAAGAATGGTAGTCGTGTACGTATGTGTACGATATTACAATCGTGGTATTATCCTTTTAATTTCATTCACGAACGCACCTTGTTTACTTTCTAAAAAATACACACAGGATTCAAAATTAAAGCACAGTGTTTCTCTGACTGTTTATGACGACTTTACACCAATTCAATTGGATGTTAACTGATTGTCATTTTTGTCTTTGATACATGACTGTTTAATTGGTTGTTATTGGCTTTGGACTAGGTGTCAGTAACCATGGTGACTGCGATTACTCTCATGTCGCTACTTTGTGACTTATGATTTTTGTTAGCTGTTTTTTTGTGTGCTTTTTGTCGATCTGATGAGGCAATCCTGTTTCAACTGATTTGAATGTGTTGTCCTGTTACACAACTTGCCAGGTTATGAGATGGGTATGACGCCAACTAATATGTTTAACTCTGCAGCATTCTGTATGTGCCTTTCCGAAGTCAGGATCCTGTAATTCAGAGGTTGTCGTTTGTTGCTGTTGATCATATTTGTTGTTTTTTTCTTAAATCGAGCCGTTTGTTTTCTTGTTTTCTTGTTTTACGTTTTTCTTGTCGAGTACTTTTATGGCGTGCTATGTGATATAGGGTTCGCTCATGTTAAAGGCTGTATGGTTACCTATAGTTGCAAACTCCTACGTCATTTGGCGCTGGTATGAAAGTTGTTTCGTTAGCAATCATACCGTATCGTCTCGTTTCATATTACATAATTATCAGAAATATTTTGATTAGTATTATGTTATTGGTGAATAAATCATATATGAATGATTAACATGATTTGTTCTAAAAGTGTATATAATTGCTTAAAATTTTTCATAGAGTTGCCATCTAAGTCTAACAAATGAAAATGCCCCTGTCATAACTCTCAATGACAGAATTGATAAATTACTTTATTATATCTTATACATGCAGTTGTTTGAACTAATAATAGTATAGTAATTTTACGATCTTGTGATTAAAAGTATCTATAACATTTTTAGCCAACCAATCATCAGTTAAAACGTCATTATCTTTCCAAGGCATCGTCATTGTAGTATTATTCGTAATTATAACAGTCCTAGGAGCTATGATTGGATTATATGTTCGTAAGTACACAGTGTTTGTTTTAGTTAATGAGATGACAAGTTAATCGAAATGTATCATCGAAAATATAAACCGTATGTGCCAAAATAAAACAATGACCATTCCTTAGACAAAAAAAAAACCTTTTTATCTTTGTTTTCAGGAATGTCTCCATAATCTTATGTATTTTGAAAAAAACGAAATTAGCTTATTTGCTGTATTCGAAAAGGCATTATAGAGTATTGATATTTTTCATATGCCTTTTCAAATTAACAAAGAAGTTTTCAAACGGCCATAACATAATTGTTGAAGGTAAGGTTGAAATCGTATTCAACATAACGCCGAAAATATACTTTGAAATAAGCACTTTATAATAAATGCGTTTTACAGTAATATAATACTAGACAGATATTGATAAGTGTAACACTTGGATTCAATGTCAACGATTAAATAGAACAGCAAGAGCACTGTTAGATTTCAAAATTTAACATGATATAAATCAATTAATCTAAATGCTGCACTAACATGTTAAATATCAATAAATGATATATATGTTGTGTTTCCTGTTTAATATTTTAGGGTACCTGAAACAGAAGATCAAGAGAAGGTTTGTTTCTTTTTTTAGAATGATAATATATAATTTCATTAAGTCCAAGCCAATCGTGTTTTTTAATTTTCCAAAATGAACGGATATTAACTCAATCAGCAATATTGATTTTAGAAAGTATTCGAATAATTAATTGATTCGTTTAGGTCATAAAACACATACAGTATTTTAAAGTTGTAATATTCTAATTTGTTACTTTAAAATATAACAAATTCTTAATGTTTGTACGGTTAAAATATGACCTTTTTAGAATTAATGCTTTGTGTTAAGAAATACCTTGTTTTTACAGTAATCTACAGTAAATTGTCGTTGTCTCGAACTCGGTTGACCTGAAATTTTGGATGAGTCAAAACGTCCTGTGGTCCGGAACTTTGTTACATATAAATTTATGTATTTCTGCTCCTGATTTTGGTCCCAAGTTTAACATCAGCATTTAAATTGTGTTCGTAATCTCGAAAAAAAATCACCCATGTCTAAACATGACATCGGGGATTTAAATGAATTAAAAAGTTAATTTTCCAGTACACCTGTAATTGATTTATGATATTCTTTTAAAATGAGTGTTTACCGAAGATCATATTTGAAAACCATTGTGAATAACTAACGATACAGTGTCATAGATTACACAACATTACACGAAATTATTTAAAATGATTTACAATCAATTAACTGTAATCATACATAAAATTAGTAACAAGTTTGCAATTCTAAACTACTCTATCAGCGACATTTTTTTTAGTATATGTTAACTTATTATACTCCCAATTAAAAGTTATAAAAACAAATAACAGTACTTGTAACCATTGACATATTGTTTGGCGTAAAGTTGAGCGATAGGTGAAAAATTTGTGATTGATAGCTGATCCGATGACTCGTTATCAGACAGATTATATGTGACAGTTATGTGACAACAGTCAATAATCGACCAGACCATTAATTGTATGCAAAAATCGGACGAATATATATGTAATTGCAATAACTACTCACTATATACAGGTGTCAAACGCGTACCTGACAAAAACACTTCTATCGATCATGTGTACCCAACTTCATCGCAATGATTTTTATAAAACATCTTAAATAATTGTTCTCCGTTTGATATAAATTGTTTCTTTGGTAGTCTTGTTTTCTGATACGTGATGAAAATAACCTTCAATTCTTAGTTAAGAAATCCCCACTTCAGTACATTTCGTGATGAATTTCGGCGATGTAGTATGATGCTAGCGATCAATATAACATTTGTTTGTTTGTTCCTTTTTTTTTTTTTTTTTTTACTTTCATATTGGAATGGTTTAGAAAAAAAAGAATTGGCTTTTTATTTAGCGCAATCTGAACCTGTAATAAGACTTATTATTCAATTTATTTGCACATTTGACGAGCAAATGTTTGTAATTTTGCATAAAAACTTCTTGGGAAGGCGTCTTATATGAAACCACGTTAATTATTCTTTATTATACCAACGGTCAATTGCGACGTACTAGAGTTCAATTTGGCAAGACGTATTGATCGGCCCTATCCGTCCGATTAGTTCTATCAACATTTATCTTATTAAATCTTACGGATTGGTGACGTTTTTTTATGTGAACTTGAGATGAATTTGACTAATCGGTTACATATTGATGATCACAAAAAAAGTAGTGTATAGGATGCAAGAACTGTATAACTTAAAACTATGAAATCAAGTTAAAAAGTATTACTTAAATTCATAATATTAGTACGGAACTTTCATAGTAACGCTTATACATGAGCAATACACTTGTTTAGATAAATAGTCTTCTTTCTGATTCCTTACAAGAATGTGCTTTCTTCATTTCAATTTAAGTTTAATTTACATATGTATTAATATTTAGGATGATAACACCAACAAATGTCCCAACAACCGAAGCCAGTAATGATGAAAGTGCTCATTATACAGAGATAACTGGAGATGATTACAGACGGATAATATTGCAAGGTACAAATATAGAAAAATGCTAACGTTCTAATGTGATTTACCAGCTATAGGTTGGTACCTATGTTAATAGAAGTTGGTCACTATAAGTTGATCAGTCCCGGTTATATTGGATTCGTACAAATGCGATGTAAATTTCATTTTTAATTATAAATGTTGTCGGTATTTGCAACTGGCTTTGACAAATTTTATCTTTATCATAATTAAACGCTACTTGGCCGTTTAAAAGGAGGACATATTATAACGTAAATTCGATTGACACAAACTAACGATTATTTTAAGAGGAACATGTGTTTATAATTTATGGTGCAACTTCTTCTACATGTTGATGCGCCCGGTTTCGCTCTTTTTGGATTACGTGCGATTCCCAAAGTTTTAAGTTTGTTTATTTAATCTGTCTTCTTATGATTCCCTTCTTGAATTACGTACGGTTGCTTATACTTGCTTACATTCGCTTCATTTGAACTTTGCTGGATAGTTGTGTCTCATAGACAATCATTATTTATCATTATTTTTACTGATTTGTAGATCTGTTATTTGTTTATTTCCTCTACGATATTATGTTTTTTATTTACTTTCTGTATATCGGACATCTAAGTATATTGATTGATTGAATAGTGTTTTAATGCCACTTTCAGCACTTTTGTTCTATTTCGTGGCGGTCATTATTTATTGGTGAAGGGATCATGAGAGCCCGGAGAGAACTAACGACCTTTGGTAGGAAAACTGACAATCCTAGTCAAGAATGATTCGATTGCTAAATTAGCCTACACGCAGTCATAACTTCTGCCAGATTATTTTCATAACAGCTTGTTTAACAATTTGAACAAAGTAATATCAGTTTCCTGACTTTGGGGGAAAACCATTAACAAAAACAAATCATTAACAGATTAACATTCTGAATGTGTTATTATGTTGAGAAGAAAAACGAATAAACACAATTAATTTTTTTTAAATATGATAGAATATGATTAAATTGTAATAACATGTTTTACATGTAACAACAGCGTTAGTGTTAGAAGAAATATTTACACGTGTTGTGGTTAACATAAACGTTAAAAAATGCGATTTTACTCTTTCAGAAAACGATAGTTTGACTATTTCAACAGTCAATATAATTGGTGTTGAAAATCCAGATACAATCCCGCAGTTTTCAGAACATTCATCAGCATCATCCGACAACATGGACAATAACACAAATACTTCAGAAAATTATGATGATGGGTATGAACATCCACATAAAACACTGGTGGTACACACACGTACTGACAACGAACATCGTTATCTCATTACTAATAAAATTCTCCATCTATGAAAATTCAACACTTTTTGAGAAAGTAGCTTGTGGACTTTTTTTTAATTTAGAAAACAAGATACTTCACCCTTTGAAACAAACCCACATGTTTATGAAAATGACGACCAAAAAAATACGAATCTGAGTTATATTGATAGCGACTTCGACAAAAAAGGACAATGGTTTTCATCGGTCACACATTGATCAACCAAAAAATGAGGCAGAATATATTAACTTGATGCTGAAACAATAAGATCACGTTTTATCGACTAATCGGTGACGGATTGATGATCACCAAAACAGTAACGCATAAGGTTGCAAGAACTGTATAACTAAAAAACTATGAAATCAAGTAAAAAAGTATTACTAGTACTTAAATTCAATATAAAAACGGAACTTTCATACTCTTAGCTATGAGCAATACACGTTTTGCATAAAGAGTCTCTTTTCTAAGTCTTTACAAGATGTTGCTTTCCTCATTTCAATTTTAGTTCTATATACATATGTATTAATATTTAGGATGGTAACACCAACAAATGTTCCAATACCTGAAGCCAGTAGTGATGAAAGTGCTTTTTATACAGAGATAAATGGAGATGATTACAGACGGACCTCATTGCAAGGTATAATTAGAAAAAAGGGTAACGTTCTAATTCGAGTTACTACTTACAAGTTGATTGCTGTGTTAATGGAGGCTGGTACCTAAGCGTTCATCGGCCATGTTTACATTGGACTCGTACTAATGTGATGTCGATTACATTTTTTCATGATAAATATTGTTGGAATTTGCAACTGGCTTTTACAAATTGTATCTTAAACATAACTAAACGCATCGATGAGGTGTTGATGCTTCCAAACATTTTGACCGTTTAAAAAGAGGACATATTAATCCGTCAGTTCGTTTGACAAACACTTAACGATTATTTCAAGAGGAAAATGTGGTTATAGTTTATACATAAACCATATTGTTTTTATCATAATTGCAACTATTTCTTTATGTTGACGCACCTGGTCCCACTCCTTATGAATTACGTGCAATTCCCTTAGTTTGAGTTTGTTGATTTAATGTGTCTTCTTATGATTCCCCTTACTTTAAATAAACATAGCTTAAGAATAATCTAACGTTATTATATATTACATAACGATGATTTTTTTCACTAAAATAATGACAGATAACAAATAAATTTAGCAATTGAAATCAAATTATCAATTAGCAATTGTGTAGATGCAGATCCTTTTCCTTCTCGATTTGTTATTTGTTATGTTCTCTACGATATGATTTTGTTTATTTAGTTTCTGTTTATCAGAGGATGAAAGTATTATTATCTTGTCAATATAATACTTAAATGATTGAATGAAGATTCAACAACCCATGAAAATGGTAGATACGGCTTTCAAGTTCATTGATTGATTGATTGGTGTTTTAACGCCACTTTCAGCACTTTTGTGCTATTTCGGGGCAGTCATTGTCTATTGGTGGAGGGAGCCGAATTCCCCGAAGAGAACTAGCGACCTTCTGTAGGAAAACTATCAATCCTAGTCAATAAAGATTGGATTGTTAAATTAGCCTACACACAGTCATTACTACTGCCAACTTAATATCAAAACAACTTGTTAAACAATCTGAACAGAGTCATTCTAGTTTCCTGACTTTGGGTTAATACTATTAACAAAAAAGGATTAACAGATTAACCTTCTGAATATGTATTTTGTTAATAGGTCGAGAAATAAACAACTAAACACAATAACATTTATTCAATTATGGTAGAATATGATTAGAACGTAATAAAATGTTTTATGTGTAACATTAGCGTTAGTTCGTGAAGAAATATATACGTGTTGTAGTTAAAATGAATGTTATATGTTGCGATTTTACTGTTTCAGAAAACAATAATCCGATTAGTTCAACGGTCAATATAATTGGTGTTGAAAATACAGATACAGCCCCGCAGTCCTCAGGACATTCATCAGCATCATCCGAAAATTACATAGACACTCCAGAAAATTATGATGATGGGTACGAAAAACCATACACAACACTAGTGGTACAAAATCATGCTGACAACCAACATGTTTATCTCACTACAAATAAACTCGGCATCTATGAAAATTCAACACCGTTTGAAAAAGTAGCTTGTGGACGTTCTTTTGAATTAAGAAATAATGATACACCAACGGTTGAAACAAACCCACATGTTTATGAAAATAACGACCAAGAAAATACGAATCTGAGTTATATTGATAACGACTTCGACAAAAATGACAATGATTTTCACAGGTCACACATTGATCAACGGAAAAATGAGGCAGAATATATTAACTTGATGCTGAAATAATAAGATAAAGTTTTAGAATTCAGATTTAAATTTTTAGTAGACTTGTACTACATAACATAAGATTATTATCAAATGTGGTTCTTGTATTTATTATCCAATAATCATTCGTAGTTAGTCCGTTTACTGTCAGAAAATTAACATGGCCATGATCAATGCATTTGGTTATATATTAGAGTTAAATAATACAAGTAATTTACTTTTCCGTATCTGTGTGATGACTTATCACTTGATGTGACTCAACAACGAATTCCAATAGGACTAACATAACTGTTATCGCCCAGGACTAACATAACTGTTATCGCCCAGGACTAACATAACTGTTATCGCCCAGGACTAACATAACTGTTATCGCAGGTGGTCCAGGAGCTGCTAATCCGTCAGAAGTTTTGCAAGGCTTTAAGTAGGGTTCCTTCTGTTTTCTCTGTTGTTTTCTTAGTTGTTTTTGAAGGAATGTTGTTTTTCTTGTAATCTAATTTTTACCAATGTGTTGGTGTTTTTTATGAGTAGTTTATGACTGATCGAGTCAAACCAATGTGAATTATAAGTACATTTTCAGGCCAATTGCATGATAAAATGTCTGCCCTTACATTTCCGACATTCTGAGTCGGGGAAAAGTATTGAGTCGTTTCTCAAGGTAACACTACAAACCCGTTTAAATACGTAGACACGCTAGGAACTAAAGTATATCACCAAGAGGTAACTCTAGAAAATAGCCCAATCATCTAAGGCCAGCATTGCATGGAGGATTTGAAACATTATATAAGTAATAATTTCCTAATTTATTAACTAAGACGACAGTAGTTTACCGTTATTCAAATTTTGTAAATCAATTAGGAAAGGACAAGTCAAGATAACAGCAAAAAACTGAGTGAATCGGATGAACTCCAAAAGGAGGGAGGCCACTTGCATCGTCAGGGTATTACCAACGGGTAATTTTGGAATGCATGTAATAATCATGTGTGTACGGACGCACCGATTTTTGAGCTGATGATACTCTTGTACACCAGTAGTGTTATCGACCAATTGCTAGTATATGAAAGTTAAAGGTAATGTATGTCTAGCGTCTTGAACGAAATTCATCAGAAAAGCTCAGATTTCAACATTTGAAATCAAGAAATGTATAAAAAGGTACCAGTTAATATATACCATCAACAACGCCAAATTCAACAAAGACTTGCAATACTCATCAGATTTTCGAAATAAAATACACAATACAAAGATATAAACAAACACAACTGTCTTAATAACTACAGGTACATTCACGCAAGATGAAATACACAAGTACCATGGAATCGTCTTAGCGTCTAATTGCCTAGAGCAGATCCGTAAAAGCACACAAACACAACAAAAACACATGTTTTGAAATTGTCCCTGTACAGGAAAAAATTACGTCAGCTACCGTCTGTCATGCTTGTTTTTGGTTAAATATTTTACCTTTAGTTAGGTAGTTAATTGTCTCATTTTAATAATTAAACAAGTTCGTATCCTAATTGCACTTAAAGATTAATGTATGAAATTGCTTGATCTACAGTTTGGATGCCACATAGTTACTATTAGTACCTATATCTATGTTCATCCGTGTACGTTGGTCTTTGTTTGATCGTTACCTCATTGAAACCCATACCTCATATCCTTATTGTATTCCCAGTCGAATAACTGCTTCCAGTTCAAGCGGAAAATAAATACACGACAGAAACACTTTGCATAATATGATCACAAGAGAAACGTTAAAAAACATTAAATAGATATACAAAAAATTGGTATTAAGAAGAGCGAAGAAAATAACTTAATCATATCATTCATCTTTTGAAAGGAATTTAAGAAAATCAAGTTTAATCCAAAATCAATCAATCAAAACATTAAATTTGAACGCCAATTCTTATAAATAAAGGCAACAGTAGTATACCGCTGTTCAAAAGTCATAAATCTATAAAGAGAAAACAAATCCGGGTTACAAACTAAAACCGAGGGAACACATCAACTATTAGAGGAAAACAACTGGAACAACAGAAGCACTGCACCGCTACAAAAAACAAAAGCCAACATACATAGAAACGGACTATTTGATAACAACTGCCTTATAAAAGATACCAAAGGAATATTCAGACTCATAAGTCAAAAACAAACTGACAATACTATGGCATAAGAATGAAAAACGACGAAAAACACAAACAACAGTACACAAAACAAATAACATAGAATAAAAACTGAGCAACAGAAACACAACAAAAACCCTTGAATGATCTTGGGCGCGCTTCGGATGGGTAAGCTGACCATGATCTATACAGCATCTGTCATGTTGCTCATGTAAGTACAAACCCGATGATTAATCTGATTCGGTAGTTCACGTTTGTGAGAATTATATTTCCATTTAAGCAAGGTTAACTAAAACAAAAACAGTTGTGCAATGAATTTCATTTAGTGAAATCAAAACATCCTTATTCTATTATATTATGGGTTAAAATGATTACAAATATACAGCATCTGTGACACCACTGTTAAAGGTTGTTTGTAAATAATAAAATATATACGTTAATTACATTTTGATTTCGTTGCAAACAGGTGGGTATTGAACAAATTCAGAATTGTTCATTTCTTAACATTGATTCTTTCCTTCTAAGGAAGTCGTTGGATCATATTTTCATTGATCAATTCTTAAATTTTTTCCTCAAAACACTTTCTGAGTAAGTGGTAATTAAGTGAACATAAGAGTACAGTTCAATAAATAAATTAAGAAGATTATCAACAACTTAAATCAAGACAAAAAACAAACAGATTTTAAATCATTGAAGGTAAACAGAACTAAGGGAAAACAGTTGTGCAATGAATTTCATTTAGTGAAATCAAAACATCCTTATTTTATTATATCATGGTGTAAAATGATTACCAATATACAGCATCTGTGACACTTTTAATGGTTGTTTGTAAATAATAAAATATATACGTTAATTACATTTTGATTTCGCTGCAAACAGGTGCGTATTGAACAAATTAAGAATTAAGATTAAGAGGAGATTACCAACAACTTAAATCAAGACAAAAAAACCTCAACTTTTAAATCATTGAAGGTTAACAAAGATAAGAGATAATAAAGGATTATACACAAAGAAGGATCTGGTTTGCCAAGAATAAACAACATACCTTATGATATAGACTTAGCGACAGTTATTAGTAAAATTCCGAACAACGAGCTTCTACAGAATTACTTTATTGTTCTTGAATCTCATATTGCAATACACATTCTGTTTATTTCAATCATAATGCAATTTTGAGTGTAGGAGTTCAGCCATCAATTACATGGATGGCGGTCGGAATTATTGGCTATAACTTCGCGCAATGGGAGTAGACAGCCACATACCACAACTAACTTATTTATTACTTCTTTATAACGTTTTATCTCATTAAAAAATCGCACCACTTATTTTTGTCAAATCTTTTGTGTGTTTAATGTCCAACATTCAGAATAATTGAACTTTTAAACCTTACAAATTTAGACAATACACATCCATACTCCTGTGGACAAGTCAAGAGATGTTGTGTAATATGTAACTATACATATTACCTGTTTGTACCTGGCGTAATCACTCTTTTCATATATAAATTAGTTAAAATACTACATCAAACAAATTATTTCAGCTCTCTTCTTTTATTTCTAACCAATAAAAACTTAGAAATGAATGAGAAAGGGAAAGAAAAAAGATAAAGAAAAAATATACTTTAATAAAATGGATCTATATTAGTGAACAACGAGAATAAGGGTCATCAGTTGTGGTCATGGACCAGACGTTTATGTGATATTTGAAATACAAGGCAGCTCTTAAACCAGGATTTCCAATTCACGTTTCACCTACAATATTGGATCAAACATGTCAACTGAATAATGACTAACTGCACCAAATCATGGCAAAATAACTGAACTAAACTCTCCTCAATATGACAACATTATCTAGAATACTACTTCTACTCAAACAAAATAAAGTTTCCATAATAAAATTTTTAACAATTTAATCTTTCATGATATACTATACATGAGCATCTTCATTTTGGCTCATAACTTTGTATTAAAACATATTAATCGTTTGGCTAAGAATTTGTTTTTAAATTTACATGAAACAGTTTCATTTGTTACTAGATTATATTTGTCTTATCAATCGACTTCTTGTTCACATGGAAACTGGCTATCAATAAGATCGATATGGACAACATATATTTGATATACTACAGGAAACACTCTATATGCATCTTTTGAACCATCAGGTGCACCTATTATTGCCTAAGTACATGCCTGACCTTAAACGTTAGAATAGAATTTAAAAAAAAACCTAATAATGTACTGTATTTAAATATTAGATGTCGATTACTTATCACCAGCACAATTATTCATACTGTTGATATATTAAAATGCGCATCAGTGTGCATATTTTTATCTTAAGCGCAAGAAACAGTCGGCTTCACGTTTAGAGCTTATTTAGAATCAAGTTACAATTCGAATAATGTGAAAGTGACATTTTCAATAATTACATAGCTGTGATATTTTTGTTGAAAATCATGCTATTTCTTAATATTAAACATCTAACGTTTGATATATGCATTGCAATATTTCAAAAATTAAACAATGACGTCAGAATCATAAACACTGATGTACATTTAAATTTATATAGTATGTATAGAGAAGGCGCTATTGTACAGAGTCGAAGAGTCATGGATTTCTTTCTCATTTCGGATAGATGAGATGGACAGCTTATTAAATTCCTTTGATATTTCCAGAAAGTTAAATCGAGATAAAGAGAAACAAAAGTGTTAAAAAACCTGATTATTATAGAATAACGAAGAATTCAAATAGAGAAAAATATTCAACGAGTGACCGAACAACACATTAATTCACGAATGCGCGTAGCGCATGAGTTAATTATCAGTGTTGTTCGGTCACGAGTTGAATATTTTTCGATATTTGAATTCTTTGATTAGTTATTCTTTTTATTACATTGGCAAATGGCTTTTTTTAACGAAATTAATGTAGAAAATGTAAGGAACTATATTTTTTTTCTACGCATTCACAAAATAATTTGATCCGACGTTATCGACGTCTTGACAACGCCTATTGTTGTATGACGTCAGAGAGTGAAATAACCACGTTTATTTCACATGTGAAATTATCGGTTTTTATTT